ATGATTGGATAGATTGAGAGTTGGTTTTTAAACTTTAAAAAGTCATGCCATCTTATCTAAAAAAAACTATGAATTTATAAATTTATAAAAGTAATAAAATTGATAAAAGGGGGCTGTTCTGGTTGAATTGTATGTATTATTGAGGGAGGGAATCAGGGTTTGTCCTCTCAGCCCCTTTCCTTGTGACAACCCAAACAGCCTCTTCAGAGCTCCCCGTTTGCAAATCACACTGGTCTTTCCAGCATGAGAACTACCAAATGATCTCTGACAGGTTTTGGAGGGTATGGTGTGAAATCTCTTGGTGCCTGGAGTGCCAGTCAAGTGAAGAAGGAACAGCACTCAAAGGAGTACAGACTTTAGATATCAGTCTTAAAATTGCCACTGGAAAGCGAAGGGGGCAGAAGGGTGATGCAGTTGGAATCAAAGTTAGAAATCTGTTTGCTGGCAAAAAGACCATTTTGCAACTTGCCTTTTTAAAATGACCTTACCCGTGTAGGGTGTTATTTAGTTAACCCAGCCTAAGGGGATGTTTTAAAGATGGAGAATTGCCCTGGTGATGAACAAATATGAGAAATAAACTTCCAGTGGGGCTGGGTTGCCTGCTGACTGTGATTTCCTGATGATCTATAACAATGGTTATTCACTAACAGCTGGCGCATGTCTCCCTCGGACAAAGCCACTGGGAAGCACAGGCGCTCTGATTGGTGAACCAGAACCGTTTCCCTGGTAACAGTTAACTAGCACGTGTTTTATTGTTTCCAACTGCTTTTCCTGGGGTATTTGCAGGTGGTGGGAGATGCTTTCTTAAAGAGGGGTCATAACCTCATGAACTTTCAGATGTTGCAACAAATTGGGGAACAAAACATTTTTCCTTTTTCAAATGTATTAAGTAAATCTTGTTACATAGCATTTTCAAGACAGATGCAGCCCAACGGTTTTTCCTTTTTGCCATTATTTCCAGATGTTATCAATTTTAAAGTCAGCGTTCCATTTTAAGAACAGGATCTATAGGAAGGTGATATGTAATCAGTAGAGTACTATTTTGCCCTTTTTGGAGGTGTGTTCTGGTTCTACATTTTGCCATAAAATGTGAGATCAAACCATAAAATGTGAGTGTATTTTTAATTGGCCTTTTAATCATTTGTATATTTTGCCTCTTCATTAATTAATTCAATGTTTTTGCCTTTACTGGTCGTTTTCTTTGTCATTTTTAATGCACCAGAAAAATTATAGTGTTTTTATAAAATACAAGACTAAGTAAGACTTGATTATATTAGAATTTTCTTCTATATTTATTTGACGTTTTTGAAAGGCTTGGTTAATTTCCAGATGGATAGCTCCCTCTTCTGTCTGGTTTGTAGAATTCACATCTTTTGAAAGCAGAGATGGAAGATGAAGTGTGTATCACAAAATTCTTTATCTTGGCTGCAGGCTGAATGTAGTTACTATATGAAGAATAACAAATTCATGTATTGGAACATGGAAAGTGCTTCCTTTGTAATAATTTGGTTTAAAATAAAATTGTCTATCTTGCCTTAAATGCTGGCTAAAAGAAAATGAAAACATTTCCTTAAGTTAATATTGAACTTTATCTGCAGACATCCCTGAAAAAATGCAGACCTGATCAATCACTTGACTGAACTCTACTTGAAACACTTGGACTTTGGTCAAATAAGCATTTGCCACTTGATTTGTACAGCATTCCAACAAACGTCCAACTCAAGTCTTCTCTTGAGCCTGATCTGCAAGGTTGTTTCTGGTAAGTGTTCTTCATGGGATTGCAAACATGCACCTACTTATAAATTAGATCAGTGGCATTCAAATACTCTTCTCCAGGAACTCAGAATTTAAAAAAATTTAAAACATTTCTTTAAAAAATGTTTTTCCTTTGTTTCCTTGGATCCAATTCAATCACTACACCCAGAATTAGGGTTATGCTCTGAAAGTGAACACAACAAAATCATAACCTAAGCTCATAACCATAGAACCAAAAGAGCTAGTAAAATTATTTATGATAATAAGGATACTTATGTACAGTCTGTGTTTCTAGAGATACAATGCCATGATGCATTTTTACTGTGAAGAGGAAAACATTAATTCAGACTCACCCTTCTTGTTTCTGTCAGTGGCAGGGTGAAAGGGGGCGGTGTCACAGAACACTAATTATTTGAATATATATTAAATGAGCACTGTTTGCAACTCTCTGCTTTTGTTGAGGTAGGCATAGCTCAGGGCCCTCTGAAGGAGAAACATTTTACCTCACACACTCCTATTGGTACCAAGTCATTGTATTCGTTCTTTTTAGATTCATTAGAGGAGTACACATGATATTTTTTATATCAAGGAATAATTTGAATATAGTGAAATGAGAATCAGAAAATTCGTCATTATCAAAATTTGTAGACTTCAGCATATGTTTGAAAATTTTAAATTACTTTCTTATCTTCAAGTAGGTAAAATAACCAAGTCATAAAGTATTAGATAACAATTCACGTGGAATGAGGGATGCGGGAAATCATAGGCTGTAGAACCCTCAGTTCAGTCTCTCCTTTCGCAGATGAAAAATAAGCCCAGAAGGGCAGTTGTCTTATTCAGGGTCCTGCAGCTAGCAGGTGACAGAGCTGTTTTCTCTGGCTCTTATTCAAAAGTGCCCTTTTGCTCAGGCCATGCTCTGTGCAGTGGTCAAGGAGTTCTTCCCTAAGGGTACTTGGCTGTGGCTCCATGAATACGGATTCTGTACTTTCTTCCCTCCTCCAAATGAATAAACTCTGGCCCCATTTCCCAGATTTGCATTCCAGTGACTTACTTCGTGAGTGACTTTGGACTAGTTAAGCAACCTCTCTGTGCTTGTTTTCACTTCTACAAAATGAGGGTAATAATAGTGCATCTCTCAGAAAGTTAAGATCAGTGTTGTGTGTGGCACAGTGCCTGGTACATAGAAACCTCTCAGTAAGTGTTATCTATTATTTTTATTATTGTAATTTTCTGCCTATTTTTCTCAAGTATTTTCTCCAGTGCGTCTTAATTTATTCTGCAGCATGTAATAATCACATTCTGAAACGACTGAAGGTTGTACACCCATGTGCATAGCAGCCTTATTGACAGTAGCCAAAAGGTAGAAGCAAGCCAAGTGTCAAACGGCAGATGAATGGATAAGCAGAATGTGGTGCATATACATAAAATGGAATATTACTCAGCCTTAAAAAGGAAGGAAATTCTGACAATGCTACAACATTGATGAACTTTGAAAACATTATGCTAAATGAAATAAGCCGCACAAAAAGACAGATACTATAATGATTCCATTTATATGTAAGGTACCTAGACTACTCAAATTCATAAAGACAGAAAGTAGAATGGTGTTTGCCATGGGCCTGGAAGAGATGGGAATGGGGGAGGTGTTATTTATGAGTATAGAGTTTTTGTTTTGTAAGATCAAAACAGTTCTGGAGATTAGCTGCACAATAATGTGAATGTACTTAACACTACTGAACTGTACTTTTAAAAATTACTAAGATGATAAATTTTATGTTATGTGTATTTTACTACAGTTAAAAACAACAACAACAAAACGACTGAAAGGCTTAGTGCACTTAGAATATACTAGTTACATTAGTTAGCCCTGGATATTTTGACTTCTTGGTCCCAGAGCTCTGGGCCAGTGCTGTAGGTTAGAACCAGAAAGGATTTGGTTGGAGACTAAGTATGGTATGTGGTCATAGTACTCAAACATTGTATCTGTTTTAGTTCTATTTCCTTCCTCTAAGATTGCTGATTTCCTGCCAGAGATGGACTTAATTTCCAGAGTCTTATAGTTTATGAACGTGGATGAAAATACAGAAGCACACTTTCCCCATAGACACATGAAGAAACCCCTCAGAGACTCTTCAAAAAATGCAAACACATAAAAAGCAAATTTGATTCAGCAAGTTTGCCATTAACAAAACCTCCTTTGGGGACAGGGGTGGTATAGTGATAGTATAGGCTGTTAGAAAGAAGCTTAGAAACTGCCCTATTGAACAAAGCAAGCTAAAGGCAGACAGAGAAAACGAGAGAAGAAAACTGCATTTTAGTTTAGAATATTTTTTGAAATTTCTGTTTAATTATCATTATTATCTACAGAGATGATTAAAAGCATCAAACATTTCCAGGATAAAACCCAAGCACAAATGGAAAAGGATTTATGCTAAATTGGCATTTGATAATTTCTTACAATAATCTGATGTAAGAGGTGTCTTCCTTTTATTTCAACTCAAGAATTCCTTTCATCTTTTACTCAATAGTCAATATCCTTTTTATTTCAATTCAATAACATTTACTGAATATCTAATATGTAGTACAGGCCCTGTGTCTCAGAAAAAAACACTGCGGTAGGGTTTTTAAAATAACTTTTAAAAGAAGGTAAATATTTTAAAGCTTAAATTTTTTTTTAAGTTTAATGTTCAAAATACTGAACTATACTGAAAATCATAATAAATGGTCATTCTTCCAAATAAATCACTCTTCCCTTTATGATTGTGGGATTTCTATAAACTAAATATTTGCAGAAGAAATTTCTTCAACTATATTGTAGGTAGAATGTCATCTTTTCAGATATGCTGGTTGGGAATAATCACTACAGTAGTGGAAATGTTTGCTCAAGCCAGCATCGAAAAGAGACAAGAGATTTCCCTTTATCAGCTTCTCAAAAATGACAACTAAAATTCTTAGTATTGGGACAGGACACAAGTTTAAGTCTGTCATTTTTTAAATACTACATTTTTGAAATAACAATCAGGTGTTTCGCTTTAAGTGTATTAAATTTAAGTATATTAATATTTAATATAAATATTGAAATATAATTATTAGTTTATTCAGAAGCAAAACCCCAATCCTAATTTCAGCATCATCTTAATAGAAAGCCTGGGTTTATGAATCCACAGGCTTTTGATTAAAATCCCAAGAGGTCAATAACAATCTTGTAATCACAAAATATGCATAAAGGAGAACATCAGACTTACCAAGAAATAGAGCTGTAACAGTGCATGACAAAAGGCACATTTTGGAGACATGATTCAATTTCCTGTTTTTCAGCATCAGGTACTTTATCTGACCATCTGAAGCCTTTAGAAATAGGTGAAAAAAAGGGGTGAGTTTTTAATATTAAGAGCTGTGAAAGGTGAAAAACAGGCCTTGACAAACACATCTAAACAGATCCATGTATTTCATAATAGGAACAGTTCTCTTATCATTCTCAATATTTCTAGTTGAATAATTATCCACTACCCCAAGGATTCTTAATAAAAAACATTTTACCCTTTTGAGAGGAAGGCAGCAATGAGTTCATTTTGAAAGGTTCACATTTAGCTTTCAGCCCAAAGTGAACCTTTGGTGTCTTTTGAATCCTTTTTAAGTCTTGAAACCTTAGAAACCAAAGAGAAAGAGATCAGATCGCGGCCTACCTCTTTCAGCCCTTGAGAATTCCCTTTCCAAGTAGTTTCTTAAATAGTGAGGCTGCATCAGAACCCCCAGTTCTTCTCCTTAGAAGTTATTAAATCAGCAGAAAGACCGACAATAATGGCAAATGAAATCTAAGTTTTGTATAGGAAATAGGCAGGCAGTCTACACTTTGTTATTCACTTGATAGACAGAGCCATTTTGACAGCTCTAACCTTGGAAACCACAGGTCCTGCTGAGCTCAGCAGGAGTCAAACGCTGAGTACCATCTGTCAAAGCTTTATTTTTCCCCCTCCTCATCCACGCCTTTACTATAAGATGCTAACAAGAGCCCTGAATGAAAGTAGCTAACTACAGTTAAACTTGTGTGCATTGTAACGCTAATGTTGGGGTAAGAAACTCACTCCCGGAATCTACCAAATTTGAGTGAACAGAATTGAGTATTCTATGTCTTTTCTTAATGGTTATCAATGTTGGAAAAGTGTGGGTTGAGAAACTCCATAACCACACTCCAAACAACTAATGCTCCAAAATAAGGAAATTGCACATCATCTTGTATGTTTTTGCTAATTCTGTAGCTAAAATAAATGGTTTGGAAAGTTCTCAACTCTAAGGCCTTTTTTTTTTTCTTAATGTGGTTTAATTAAACGTGCAAGAACAACAAATTAATTTCTTTCTAAAAAATAGAGATTTTGATGCGTTGAACTTGTGTTCTATAAAATGAAGCTCATTCAGATCAAACACTCCCTTGCTCTGGCATAATCAATTCTAAAACATTAACAGGCCTAATAATAATAAAATCAATTAAATCAAGTGTGGTATGGCTCATGCTTCACTTGTGTAGAAGACAGTGTATCAATTGAAACATAAAGGAGCTCACAAAGGCATTCCTTTCCACTAAGCACTACCAAAATGCTACATATTTTTTAAAGTACAAATTTATTTTGCTTGCATTTAAAATTTTTATATATTTAATGAAAAAATTAGATATCAATTTAAAAATCCTTAATTTGGAATACCATTTTTAGCACACAGTTCCTTAAAAAATGTAGAGAACATTTCCATAAATGCAAATTTAAAAAAAGTAGCTTAGAATTAAAACGCTGAAAAAAGCTGAGATCTTTTTAGCAGAATTATTCCTAATTTTAATTTTTAGTTATTCTACTTGAAATAGTAATGTTTCATTTTTTTCTAATCTTTTTCGCAATTCTCCCAAATGCTGAAAATAGTTATAAAATATTACTTCATGAGAATAATACTATATATACGTACTAGATATACTATACTATAGCAATTAATTATTTATTGTTTAGTAGTTAATAACATTGTCAAGAAGATACTGTGAAGAAGTATTATTAATCAATTATTGTATTCATACAAGTGTGTACTTTTTTTTTTACATTTTACTGAATGTTCCATGTGTGCAGATTTTGTAGGGATTTGAGAGACCTTGTATATAAACACCTGAAATGCTTTATGTGAAATAGTTTTTATAAATCGCACATCCAGAAGGTGATTTTGCTTTTTAAAATGACCAGGTGGTGATTTATTTGCAATGTGAAAACTAGCTAACTCATAAGTAATAGTTTCTAATATCACAAGGTTGAATTTTGTCCATCAGTTTTGCAAGACAACTTCAGTTATATATATGCATGAATGCATCTGAAAGAAGTCTCAATAGGTACTATTTGAGGCTTTGCCCCTTCTCCTAGTTTTCCTCATCTGCCCTTCAGCCCAGGAGAGGCTGAGAAAGGAAGCTGCCTTTGCTGGCAGACAGGGTCCCTGATTGGTAAACACTTCTTCCACCACTGTGCTTATGCCTGAAATCCTTTCTTAAGGGGACAGGACACAACTTTCACTGCATTGAGAGAAGATTCAAAGGCAAATGCCCCAGGGAGAGGGAACACGTGGATCTAAATTAATCTTGCTGACAGTTACTCTGAAAGCAAAGAGAAGCAAAGGAGAGCAGGAGGGGAGGCACCTCCAGATGGAGAAGGGGCAAAGATGGGGAGGCAAACTTGGTCTTCCTTAAGGTTTTACCTAAGAAGGGCTGCTTGGAGTGTCCATGCGTAGCCTTGCTTTACATAATGCCTGTGTAGACTTTCTTGATTGTCATTGTCATGCTTTTGATTTTCATAATCTCAGAATCTCAGAGTTGGGGGAATGTTAAGGGTCAGTTAGTCCCAATCCCTCCTTACAGAGATGAAGAAACAGACCCAGATAAGGCTACCCCATGGTTTATCCAAACCCTGATTTTTTTTTTAAAGCCCCGTCTTTTTGTCTGTAAAATAGGGGTGATCATATTACAGACATCAGAGGATTTAATGAGCAATGTTGAAGCCTTTAGTACAAGTCCTGAGCACAGAGCAAGTGCTCAATAATTGTTCATTTTTGTTATCATCCGTGGAGTTCAGAGCCAGATTTAGTGACAGTTTATAGTAACTGTATTAGGTCTCGTGGTTACTAATTTGTTTTCATTTCCTGTTCATAAATTTTTTCTTGTAGGGAGCTAATAGAAACAATTAACAACTACTGAAAATTTATAAAACAATTACCTATATTCTACTTATCTTGATAAAATATGATGCATTTTGCAAATATTTTTCTTTTTTTCTAGCTATGTACATTTGTTTACATAGTTGGAATCATAATGTACTACAATTTTATATCCTGCTTTTCCTGTTGACATCATACCAGAATTTTTCATGTGGCTACCAATTCTTGGTGAATATCATTTTAAATGAGTAAATGTCCCATAATTTAATTAGCCATATCTTGATGACAGAGTTTGTTGGTTGCTTTCAGTTTTTCTGTTATAAATAATATTCCAGTGACCATTTTAGTACATATAACATTTTCTTCTTCGGATGTATTTTTTTAGGTTACATTTTCAGAAATTAGATTACAAATTAGATTAGAACTTGTGTATTTTTTGTAGTATTTGCTACTTACTGCTAAATCATGGCCCCACTTTTCTATTTTTATTTTATTAACCTTATTTTATAAATGTCCTTTTAAAAATTATTATTATTTTGTAGTTACAGGATCTGGCTATATAGACCAGACTGGTCTTAAACTCTTGGCCTCAGGCAATTCTCCCACCTCAGCCTCCCAAATGTTGGGATTATAGGTGTGAGTTACAGTGTCTGGCCTAATGTCTTTGGGCTTCTAATCTGTTTTTTTAAAGATGCAGTTGTTTTCAAAGTCATAGGGATGAGTAATGGCAGAACCAAGACTTGAAGCCCTCTTTTTACTACACCATAATAATAATGCGAACGGGAATAACTTCCCAACGTTAAGATGTGGAGGAATCATCCATTCCTTAGGTACTAGCTGAGGTAGCAGAAAGTGCAGAAATCTAGGAGTTGGGAATTCTGAGTTCGAGTCCTACTACCACTAATAATGAATTGTAACATAGATTCATTGATTCTTGACCATATTTCCTAGAGAATCTGAGATTTAGAGAATGCACTGGAGTGCTCTTGAAGCTGTGTAAATCTCTGCATTGGAGAAAGGCAGTGTCTCACTCTGTGAATCCTGAGCACTGAGTTGCTCTAAGAAGCTGTAGCATAGAGCTTCTTAGACATGATCTTGTTACATTCTGGATCTCATTAAATTCTGTTTCAATAGGTTTGGGGTGGGCGTGAAATTTTGCATTATTACAAAGCTCCCAAGTAATCCTGATGATGATGCTGGCCCAGGGACCACACTTTTAGAAGTAGCCACCCTGAGTGGTTGTTGAGTTTCATGGATGACTGTCCCCATGGTACAGAGCACCCTTAATCACGGAGCAATTTTAATCACTGGATAAAGGATGGGGATTAACAGTAGTCAGCCAGATGCTCCCGAAGTGGTGTCTAATATGCAGGAGTATGTGAATATTGTGACCTGTATGTGGAGGAAGTATTACGTGATCTGTTTCCTCTTTGATGCTAGAGATCCTCTGAACCCAGGAATGTCCCTTTTCCTGAGATGTGGGAGGAAGTGGAAAGAAGCCACCTGGAATAATAGAGTAATATGGAAAAGCGCTGGCCTTTTATTATCATTTCCCTTATCTGAACACAAACTCATTCTTATTTTATATTATCAGAGATTCCAACCAAGGTCCCTTAAAAGCTGACCAAGAAAATTTGCCAGAAGCACTTTAGAAGCCATAATGCTTTGTGGCAAATCTTTCCAAACATCTGCTGTGTGAAAAGGAGCAAAAATCCTGCAATGGCTAAGGGCAAGAGGGCAACTTGGAAGTGGAATGTCTTGGCACAGCTCTATGGAGGCCCTTTCTCTGAGCACAGGCGTCCCCAGGAGAACCCAGCACCTGTTCTTACATATTCCTGCTGGCTTCTGTTGTCTGCAATTGCTGTCAAAAGTGTCCCAGGAGAGGGTCGGGACAAGTCTTGTCAGGGAACAAGAAAAGCTGGGAGTGTGGCGGTTGGTCTCACAAATGTGAGGATGTACACCATCCCAGTAGGGACTCTCATTTCCCGTTTCACATCACTATGTACCTGATGTCAAAAGCAAATCTTTTGAGTTTAGGAACTGTGGCAGAGAACAGTCTTTTGAAACTCAGGTGATATCGATAGCCTATTTTCATTATTCTAAAACTGAAATGCCACGAGTGGGATTTGGAACACAATCATTAGGTCTTCTGGAGTTATTGTCTAGAGAGG